CAAGTGTGACAGTGCGCACAATGTTTAGGCATTCAGTATATTGAGTATGAGTGTATTGAGTATGGCGACTCAAAATACAATAAATATAAGACAGATTTTTTTTATTATATTGCTAATAACCATTAAATACAATAACAAATACTACGCTAAAGAAACATTTAAACATAAATATATATTTGGAATGTGGAATTTATATATCAAGCTTTCATTTCATTGCAGGCTACGGCTACAATTTGTTATCCCTTAGTTAGAATTGAATAAGAAGAGATAAGAAAACTTTGAAGCACGTTAATCAATTACTTTAACCGTTTGAGAACTTTATGTCTACAAGGTTGTGCCAATGAAATAGTGGTTGTAAGCTGCGTGGCGCCTAAAAGTATGCCTTCAGGAAAAATGCGCTAAAGAGTTAATAATATGTTAAGGGCGTCTTGCTATGAAACCACTCAGCCCTCACCAAAGCAGTCACTCAAACTGAGCCTAATATAACGCAACAGCAAGCATATAATTACATGGGTAATATAACACACAGGCTATCACACACTACCCCTCACTACTAGTTAAGTGCTACGCGCACTAGCTTAAAAAAAAGTCGCAATTGTTTTATCCTAAGGCATTGACATAACTACTTAGCTTTAGTATGATACTTGTTGCTGCAGTTTCTATTACAAATGCTTCGGCGAATGTGTGTCTAATAACATCGTGTGGCTACGTTAATGCTGATGATGTGGTTGCCACTTGTACTTTTGCCACAAACGACGCTGTCTTGACTGCTGATGACTCTATAAGTAAATGCAGTGAAGTGGCAACTGCAGCAACAGCAACAAACGGCCGCGTTGGCATTAGCAGCCGCACTCACTTCAACTAATAACAAATTCTGACAAATTGGCAAATTAACTGCTGGCCGCGCGCGCAAACTGCCTGAGCAGCGCTTTCAGTAGTCTCGTTTGCTCCATTAACCGCTGTACGAGCTGATAGCAATAATAACAATAATAATAATAATAATAATTGCAACAGTCGCGCGCAGCTTACACACACATACACACCCGTACAAATCACTACCGAAACAGCACTTCGAGTTCTAACATTGTTTTTATGCGCCATTTAATTTGTTGCTAGTAATGGTCTGCTCGCCTGCAACACAAAGTGCGCGTATCGCGCGAATAAAGGAAAGTGCTATTGCCGCAATTGTATGTTATTGCTGCTGCAAATAAAATCACTTACAACCAAACGCGTCAGTTCAGCAGCTCTGCAGCCTACCGCTAGCATTTAGTAGCTGTTTAAGAGTCGTCGACAAGTTGCGTATAATTGCTGCTTTGTTGCCGCACACAGAAGCAGCTTTGTTCTTATAAATTATGCTGTTTTGTTTTTATTATTGTTGCGCTTGTTAGCTATTACTGCTACCGTTTCGCACTTGGCCGCCGGCAATGTCGTTACTCGTTTGGCCATTGCTTTGATTGCATTTTTGCACCGCCACCTGTTGTCGCTTCTAATGGCAACCGGCATCGTCTAACTAGTTACACTTTTACAACAAATACACGCGCATATTTAGTCAAGTACATTAGATGCCTTTAGCACACTCAATTACAGCAAACTCATGATCATCCTTCGGTCGTGCAAGATTACTGCTCACAATGTTAACTTATTCAACGCGGCATACATATGTACATACATATGCAGAGATATACATGCACGTATATGTGTTATGATGTCTTGCCTACCCAGCAAACCAAGTGTTATCGAGCTCCTTGAGTATTCATATTTCCGATTTTTTTTAAACATACAAAGTTCTCTTCGGTATGCGAGAGATTAACAATTTACTTAAAAAGCGCGATATTAATTATTTGGAATCACGCATTGAAAAAAATAATTTTTTTTTCTATTTTTTAACACACTAAATTAAATGCTTTCTTATAATTAGACTCACTGTTAAGATAAACCGAAGCAAATACCGTAGCTATTCGTAAACTTTCATCAATATTTTTTGACAAGCTGATACGTTCTTTCACATTTCGTGAGCGCAATTTTCTTTAAGAATGCGCAACCAATCTTTCTTTATGAAATTTCTTTACTGGGCTACTTATCCGTACAAGATTTGTTGTACAACACTAATTGCGTATTTATGTGGCGTCTACTAATGATCTTCAATAGCCGGAAATTGTTGTAAGGACATGTCTTGATTGCTATTCAAGCACTTCAACAATGTGAAAAGAGGATAAAAATGCAGCAAAATTATGATGTGCAAATTACATTACAACACAACAGATCCAAGGCACAGGAAAATAACAACTTTTACTAGGTACCTACTACAAGCGAATATGTATACGACAACTAGCTAGAACTGCTACCTCATTGATATATAAACATATAATTTTAAACTATTTTATTGTTGAAATATATATATACGCACGAAATAGATAAGAAAATAATACAAAAAAAATATGCAATACTGTTGCAAATTATATGACTGTGCTTGTTTAGTTGTAAATTTGTTTTAAGCTCAAGAAAATATCTAAAATTATATTTAATATAACAGGATATTCCAGTAAATGTATTTTTTTCAATAACCTTTTTTTACAGATCACGCATGAGTCGTATATAATTATTTATATTAACTCAGAATAAAAAACTATCAACCATTCGAAAGGTGCTTAACATTTTCCAATTGGAAAATATTATTAACAATATAGGTTTATCAGATTTGTCATAAATTCCTTAATTTTTTACGACACAATATTCAAGCGAAATATAATATATACGAGTATATACAAGTTTTCTACTTAATACAGGTTGGTTGAAAAGTTTCTGCGCTCGAAATGAAAAAATACTGCTTTTGGTACGAAATATATTTTCTTATTCAATATTATTTTATTTATTTAATATTTCAATACACTTATTCCTATGATCCTCCAATAATCTAATGCCAACCCTATAATGACTTTCCGAAAGCTCTGCAAAAGCCTAGTACGACTACGTTTAAATTCACCAGCCCAAAACTCAACGGTGCGTTTTGAAGCTGAAGACTCCTTATACACTTCTAAAAATTGTACATAAATTTCCTTTGCTTTTTAGCTTTCAAGACATAGAATCTAATCATTGCGCGATATTTAATTTTTTCTATATTAAAAAAATACGCTGACTGCTCTGACTGTCAACTTCAAATGGCTTGTAAACAAAGAATTGACAGAATGACTTGTGACTTTGAATGCGTTCTCACGACAGATATACCAACTTGAGTAAAAAAATTGCAGTTAGTAGTGCTATTACTTGGTGAGCACTACTCACTTTTCAACCAACCTGTATATTCCAAAAATCACTATAAAAGTAGATAACTTTCGTAATTTTCGATCGAAATCCGATCAAACCTAAAATGGAATTAAAATGTACAGAAAAAATGTATGTCTTAACCCCTCTAAGTATTTGCGAATTACCAAAAAATTGATTTCCAATAAATTATGTACTCACACACACACACATAAGTTTTATTTTAAAGATTTGCGAAGAGCCCAATTGAAATACGAGAAAGAGAAAAAATATTTGAAAAAACATGCCAAATAAAATGCTACGCAGAACGACCTTCGACTTAAGCCAAAGAATCACTTAACAACACAAAAGGAATTATGGTATAAGCAAAAGTTTCCTGTTTGTTTTAATACGTTCTTTTGATTGTTTCATTTGTTTTTATATGTTCTTGCCAGCATGCGCTAATAATCACTTCAGCGAAAATGGAAAAGGGTAACTTCGGACGCAACATTTTTTGTAATTTATTTTGCGCTGATTTATGACCTCAGCCGAACTTGAAGTGAATTATGATATCAGCGCAAAGGTATCATAAATTCTGCACACATAGTAATTAGAATCGAAGAAACGCTGCAAGCAGTTATAAGTATTCTTTCACATTTTTTATTATTTTTTATTAAACTTGATTTCGTGTTTTCGCTTTTATATGCATTTCTTAATTATAACAGATTTTATATATTTTGAAATGTCCATAAATAGCAGTTGTGAAACAAAAAATGTGAAAATATGGCAACACTACTTTTGCGCATATGTGTGCATATATATACGAGTACATACATACGTATGTACATAGGAAAGACGACTTACCTTTATGCGAAAAGTACTTCAAAGTAGTTTTTCAAATTTTGTTCAAACTTCGTTATTAGCTTTATATGCGTACTCACACACGCACCTGACTTCATTAACACCATTTTCAGCTACACATATAATATGTACATAGCCTGGCGCACTCTGCAACCGCATTTCTTCACTTCTCAATAAACATTTAATTTACAATGTAAAACCATCACTACACACAACTTTATTTCCCCACACTTTTATTTCGGCTTTATTTAATTAAATTTCTACACTTTAAATTTTTTACGCAAATTTGCACTTTGTTTTTAATTTTCATATTCGCGGAAACTGACAATTGCTACAGATGGCGGCGGAAGTTTGACAACACAGTGTTGTATTTTTCTTGCATATGCTTTTTTAGTTTGCGCATCACCCTGTGGCAAATGTGCGATACTGTGCAGAGTGCACATAACTAGTGAGTACACAAAGACTTAAAGATTTTCTTTATTATTATTGTTTATGTCCGTTTTATACTTTTTTGTGTAATTTTAATTATATTTTATTGCCGTCAAGCAAAAGCAAAAGAAATTTTTAACAATCTAAACAAATAATGTGTAGTACAACCCTGAGTGGTGTGAAACTTCCGCCATTGTTGTGGCCAGCTGTGAGTTGACGTTTCAATTTAAGTAGCGAATTCGAATTTTGCTGTGTAGTGTTTCGTTAACAATTAGTTTATTTTAAAATTTTTAATAAAGTTCTAAATTAAGCCGGTAAATGTTTACATATGCAGAATAATTTGATTTTCTAATATGTTCGTTATATTATTCTGCGCTATGTTAATACAATTCTACCAAAGTCTTCGTTCCTTTTATATTTTCGCCTAAAATAGCTAATTCACAACTTCCTGAACTAAGTAAAAAGACTAATTTTCCACTTAATGTGAACTTTGGCTTCATGTTTTATTATTTCACGATTTATGCAAGAAATATTTTGATTACAAATTTATAATGCAATAGTCTAAAACTACATATGGCAAGAGTTGTTAGCATAACATAAATTTAAATTTATTGAAAACTATGCGGATATGACTAGCTGATTTTCTGTGGAAAAAATCAAGCACAGGAGCTAGACAATATTTGATAGGACTTCAATAAAAAGATAAACAAAGAAAAAAGAAAAAGTGAATAATTCGTATTCAGTTAATAAGTGATTGATAGTAAATGCTTTGGTGGTGAGATAACTTAAAAAGAACTTAAATTATTGCTTATTAAAGCAAGCTTTTGGCAAAAATATCTTTGGATTGCTTTTTTGGTGTTATTCGGAAAGAAAAGTGCAAAGGATAGAAAATATTACTAAAAACTAAAAAATTCATGTGAGAAACTAAAATGCAGTCAATTCTAGCTTAAATATTGACTTGCAAAGCACTGACAGATAATGCTAAATGTTATGGCACGTTCTAAAGCGATAAATAATTATAAAAAAAAATCAGCCATTGATACTCGCTACGCTGCACTATCACTTGTGCTTCATATACATGGTGACTATTTTGTCCAATATGTTCTCTACGGACTGTTGCTCCTGCCGAAATGTCTCCATTGCCTTTGCCGGCACAATCCAATTGAGAAATTCTTCAACATTTTGGCGCATACGTGCGATAGCCGAAAGTGACTGATCCTCACACGCTTTGCGATTGGCAAGCTTTAGTGAAGCGACGATAACATTATCGATCAGCCGCTTCTCGTAGCCTAATTTCTGCAGCTTTTGCTGCGATGAGATTTTCTTCAGCAGTAATGCCATAAGGAAGCGTAGGTGTGACAGTGTCTGCGAGTCATTATTTTTGACATTCTCCTCCTCTACATCAACATTGCAGCTGTCACATTGTTGCATATGCGATTGGAGTTCCGCTTTGATTTTAAAGAACTGGTGGCAGCCTTCGCACATATATGGATTGATTTGGTTGTGGATTTTCTTCATATGTGTCTTGAGGTGAGCTAATTGCGAGAACGCGACCACGTCCGTACAAATCAAGCATTGAAACGGTTTCTCGCCCGTGTGCTTGCGTATGTGTAGCTTTAGAACACTGGAGTAGGCGTAAGTTTGCCAGCAAATCTGCAAATGGAAAATATACAATAAATTAATCAAATTTAATGTTGTCAAATTAATGCTATTGAACTCACCCTACACTGATACGGGCGCTCACCAGTGTGCATACGCATGTGCACATTGTACTGTGACTTCTGCATGAAATATGACTTGCATACCTCGCAGACATGTGTCTTCACATTTGTATGGGTCTTCATGTGCTTGGCCAGTGCATCATCTTCGATGGTCTCCTTGCAGATGTCGCAGTCGAACTGGCCCAACTTATAGTGTAGTTTGTTTATGTGCGCCTTGAGCACTGGCTCGTTTGGAAAGTGTTCCTTACAGATCTCACAATAGTGATCGGGTCCATTTTCATGGCGGTCCATATGTGCACGCAAGTTGGAGGGCGTGGAGAAAGCGGTCGAGCACTTCTCACAGATATACTGTTTGATGCTGCTCTTGTGATGGCTAATGACGTGCTGCTTCAACTAGAGATAAAAAGGAAAGAAATAAAATAATTAAATTTGAATTGTCTGAAAATTGCTCCAGCCTAGCATAGGCACTTACATGGCCACCGCGTGCAAAGCGTTTATCACACTCTGGACAAGCGTACGGTTTTTCGCCCGAGTGTAGACGCATATGCAGCCGCAAACGCTCCTTCACCGCAAACATTTTCGGGCATTGCTCGCAAGCGTACTGCCGTTGATTTGTGTGCGCGCAGTTGATGTGATTTCTGAGGTTGACCGCCTGTCGGTAGCAGTTGCCACATTGCTCGCACTTATATGGGCGCTCGTCCGAATGGATTAGCATGTGACGACGCAGATCATTATTGCCACGAAATTGCTTCGAACAAATGTGGCAAACGTGCAACTTACGCATGAACACTTTACCCGAGCGCTTATTCGCTGCCGGTGTCAGCGTCGACTCCGAAACAGAGACTGTATCGGCAAGCGAATTTGTACAGTCATTTGTTGAGTGGATTAGCTCCGACAAATCGGCTGCCGATTGTGTAATGTCTGTCTCAGAAAAGGCCGAATCAGCTAATGAAATGGAGTTTTCTGAAACTGTCGTCAGAACAATAACGGATTTTTCTGCTGCATCCATGTAATTAATCGTGTCGCTCGTGGCAACAGCAGCTGGTATTACAATAAAGGCTGCATTGACAGCCTCAGCGGCTGCGGCTGCGGCTGTTTGTGCTACATTAGTTAAATCGGCTGCTTCTGGTATCTGCTTAACTGTGTATTTCTCAGTATTTGAAGACTCAGCGACATCACCTATTTCGCCCGCTGCAGTAGCGAATGACTCTTCTGCCTGCACCAATTGCATTTCGGCGGCTTGTAATTTTTCTAGTGCCGGCGCTGAATTACTTGCGCTAACTGTGAAATCTGTTGCATAGCTAGTTTTTTGTTTCTTTGACACTGGCGTAGCTGCGGTGGGCACATCCTTGCTCTTTCGTCCTCTTTTCGTTGCTTTTGCGCCGCTAACGCGCCGACGTACTTGCTTTTTCTTAGACGCGGCATGCGCGTACTGCTGCTCCTCGCCATCGCCGAGCTCTGTGCGCGCGGCGGGTGGCGACGAGAGCGATACACCGCTGTCGGTAAGTACGAATGCACCATCTTCCTTGGACAACGAACGGCGACTGCGCACCATTTTTTTTTTTTTTTTTGATTTTTGAGAGAATTTAGAATTTTAGCAAAATTAATTTGTTTTTATATTTTTGTTTTTATAGTTGATTAAAGCACCGTCACCATAAGCATATGCTATAGTGTTTATAAGCTAATTCTTAGTGAAGCAATATATTTAGGGATTTACTATAATTATGCATTGGGTTAAAACTTGTCAAGCGCTAGCGCTGTAGACATACACCGCTCCGTCACTGTAGATTTTTGTTAGTTAATTATTTTAAATATTTGTTTTAATTTTGATTTAATGTTCACTTGTGTTCAGACTTAAATATTTCAAAACCAACACCAAATATAATGTTTATGATTTTTTCATGCCTTCAAATATATATAAGTTTATACACGTAGTTGCTTAGTTGCGCGCGACAATTGAATGGCGCTACTGTTCTGTGAAAACTTTTTTGCGGGCAATTTAATTTTCATTACGCTATATAGAGGGTGTTTTGGTGATTAGAGTTCTTTTTTATAATTTTTTGTACATTTTTGTTTTTGGTTTGCTTTAGAGCGGTACGAAAAGGCTGCAAAAAGAGAGCAAGAGAGAAAGAGAGAAAGAAAGAAAAAACATTGTAATTTAAGCTTTTAAATATGTATGTATGTACATATATATAAACTGTGATATGAATAAGTGGATGTGCATGACAAACAGCGGGGCGGCGCACAATAAACAGGCGACTAACTACCGCTTCGAATTGATATTGAAATCAGAACAAAAACTCAAGTTTTTTTGTTGGTCGCTGTGCGCTGGCTGTTTGTCGGTCGCCTGTGACGCTGAATTAATTTGTGCACATTACAATTTGTAGTGGAGCACAGCAAAGCCGCGGTAACAACAACAACAACAATAATAACAACGGCGACAATAACAACAACAATAACAGCACCGAGCCTGACCACACCAAACCATGCGCCCGATAATGATGAGTGAACACTCAGCGGAATGATGAACTGAACTCAACTGAACTGAAAACAACTGAATTGCTGAATTATACAATACGCTTATGCACGTATGTATTTATTTGTCTGTATGTCTGCATGTGCATACATTTCGTTGCGCTGTTAGGTGAGGCGACAGTGTTGGATTGATATGAATTGAAAAGCGAGAGTGCGACGCGGCGCGGCGCGGCGAAATGCATCAAAACAGCAACAACAATACAAAGTAAAGCAAAAACAAAACAAAAAATAAATAAATACAGCAATAACAAAAACGTAGAACACAAACAAAACATTAATAATAATTAAAGCACAAAGCAGCTGTGTCAACAGTTGAAACATTTCGTTGTGCTGACGTTGAACTTTAAAACTTCTGTTCTACGAAAAACTAAATTAAAAACTCAACTGAATAAAGAAATTCTAAAAAAAAAAAAATAGGCAAATCAGACCACATGCGGCAACACATTTCCAGCTAATAAAAAATGTACACACATACACACACATATTTATACATATATATATATATAAACACAAAGCAAACTGCAGCACAGATGCCGTTGATAAGCGTAGCTGGCGAGCGCATGCATTTGAAGTTCGTTCTCGAAGTCTTTTGTTTGCAGTTAGCAAACGAGCGGAGACTTTACGCTGACAAACGAACGCATTGAAGCGTATAACTAAACAAGTTGTGTACATTTCCAGACAATTTACAAAACAATTAAGCAAATATTGACACTTAGGATAACACTACTTGTAAATAACTGCAACTATGAAGTAATCAAATAAATATGAGTGTGTTTATGTGTATGTGTGTGTGTGTGTACTGTGAAAAGCTAAAGTATGTGACACAACTGATAAGGAAAAATGTTAAGCAAACGTCGGCTGACTGATAGCGTGCGAGCGCTACAACACACGTACAATTAGAGAAACAGATAATGCAGACGATATCAGAATGAGAGCGTAAACAACACACACACACTTAAAAGCATACAATATAGTAATACATATTGTATCTACTGTATGTGTAGCAGACTCAAGCTGAGTAGCAGCCCAATGAAGACCTGCTATGCTCACCCAGATACTATAAATGCGCACGTTTATGTATGTATGTATGTATGTACAAGTATGTGTGCGTGCGCGATAAGATAAGGCGCACAAGTCAAGCACAGCAACGACACAGTTATGCAAGCATTATCAGTGTGATTTTACGGTAGAATTTTATAGAAAAAACTTGATAAAGGCAATAAAGCAAGTTCGAAACTCATTAAAGTAACACGGCTTCAAAAAACAAAAAAAATAAAACAATTTTTTATTGTCTTATTTAATGCTATAACATCTCTTGAATATTATGCTAAATTCTCAAGTTGTTACCAGTAATAGTTTTGGAGATGCCGCTTTGAAAAGTTGCGCGCTCGAGGTCAGCTATATACGCGCTTCAAATCACTTAAAACTTTAAACGGGTTTTTCTCGAAACTGAATTTTCGAAGTCGGTTGTCAAGATTTCTCACGAACTACACAACCGATCTTAATGAAATTTTACACAGGTCTGTGAGATATAATTTACGAGGTCTTGCCGCGGAGAATTATTTTTTTTTTAATTACAAATATTTAAAAAACAAAAAACGTCGAGAAATGTTCACCAAAATTTGCATGTTTTTGTAAAAACGTCTGCCAAAAATACAATTTTCACTTTATTCGTTTTTTCTCCATTCTAATACCTAGTTATTAGTCTTAGTTCAAACAGGTATTATTTTCTTTTTACTTTTGATGATTTGCCGGAAATACAAAAACTAAAGAAAAAATCTAATTAACAGCTGCCAACAACACTAAGGCAGAACATTGTTCAATATACATTTTAAATACGTCAAACATTCAACCTAACCGCAAAAGTGTTAATACGTTTGTCTGAAGAGGATTTTCAACTACAGCATAAGTTTTAAACTTGCACTAAACATACCATAATCTAAGGAACGCCAATTCAGATTTGTTATGTTTGTTGCTTTTTGAAAATTCTAAACGTACTTATCCTTACTTTACGAGTGTTTTAGTCAAGCATTCGATACGCTATAGCATTTTACTAAAGAACTCTAATTGAGAGTTATTTGCAAGCAGAACAACAGCAAATTGCGAGTTAGTGTAGACCCCGAAGTGGCCACACTTAAGGTTTCGATAAAGCAGAATAAACTTTAAATGCAGTTAATCGTTTGCTTTATTGGATCGACTTTTTATACCCTGAACAGGATATATTCAGTTTGCCACGAAGTTTGTAATACCCCGAAGGAAAAGTCGAAGACCCTATAAAATGTATACATTTATGATCACTATAACGGAGCTGAGTTGATTTAGCGATGTCCTTCTGCCTAACCGTCGGTCTGTATATATATGAACTAGTCCCTCAGTTTTTAAGCTATCGTTCTGAAATTTTGCACCTGTCCTTTACTCACTAAAAAGCTGCTCATTTGTCGGAACGGATATCGTACCGCTATAGCTTAAAGCTAGCATACAAATTGAACGATCGAGTTCTTGTAAGGAAACTTTGTATTTCTAAAGATGGTTTTTCTTGTTTATTGTTTCTTTCACCAGATAATGTGAATAAATAGAGAAGGCGCAAGTGTTAAGAAGTATTAATGTGATATTTTCACAAGAGGGAACATCGAAAACTATAACTTCGAACCCTTAGAAATACACCACACAATGATCGAAACGGGGAAAGGCTTTAAATAGACACAAAGGATGTTCTTAAATGAATTATGCGCATGTTGATTTACATTTGCATATCACCAAAAAATTATAATTTTTGTAATTTAAAATAAGTCTTCAAATTATATAAAAGGATTTTTAACCAATAATACCCTGGAATTTTCAATAAAATAAGAAATTAATAGATAAATTCTTTAACACATTTTTGTGCGTTGCATGAATAATATCTAATAGTCAAAGGATAACAACAAAACAGTGGCTAAGCGGCCGCTTTCTCACTTTTGCGGTGGCTCAGGTCGTAAGCGTGAAGGAGTTAAGCCATTCCGAATACAAACGCTTACGTTCGGATCCTGTAAATCATAAATCAGCTTCTTTCGCGGGCTTTTCGAGTATCTCAAGCGGAGCAAATCAATTGAAGAGCAGGGTGATTCAAAAATAATAATATTTAAGAAACAATTTGTTAAACGGCAAATAAAAATTAAGAATTTAATCAAAATTTAGTTAATAAAAATAAATTAGTCAATATTCGGAGACATAATATTAGTAATATTATTATTATTTTGGTAAATAGCTACCCCACCTTTGGGAACAGTATCTCGTTTGAATTGAACAATACAATTGGAATTACGTATTTCAATCGGATTATTATTGGTAATAAATTTCCACTTATCTTGGCTGACGATTTCAACATCAACTTCGCTAATAAAAAATTATAGCAGTTGACAGCTTTTCTTTCGGAAAAATTGGAATTAAAAATGAATAATGTTACACAAGAATTCAAACAAAATATGATTTGACACGGTATTTTTCAGATATTTAGAGAATATCAAGTGACGAACTTATGTTTCTTATTTAAGTTACCATAAGCCCATAGTTTCAAGGCAAAAAAATCTTGAACATGTTTTGTAAGATAATAAAAATATGTTAAACAATATTAACTTCTCATTTATTTAATAAAAGAAAAACAATGTGTTTTCTTATCGAACACTCAAAAAGTGTAACTTGAATTAATATCAAAGAAAAAAAAATACTGCACGATAAATAAATAAATAATTATAATTGCATAAGTTGATAAAAAAATGCTATGCAATAGCTTTACCGCGGCAGTCTCCGAGTGCCACACGTTTTTTTGTTTATTTTATTTTATTATTTGACATTTTAGCTGATCTCAATTCAGTTACTTAAATAGCATATTTTACTCAATGGAATAATTAGAATATTTCCGGAAAATATGTTCATATGATTATGTTTATTGGAAATTCCCTTATTTATGCGTATTTACACAAATGTGACAATCCCGCATCCATTCTTAAATACACGTGCGCTGATGCTTGCTACTTCTTACCCCGCACAAATACTGACTTTTGTGTACACTTTTTGCTTTTTGCGAGAAGGAAGTTGAACGATCGCAGACAAGGAGGGATCAGGGGCGCACTGCCACATAATATTTCAAAGATTTACCTATTAGTCGAATTTATTTTAAAACCAATAAAAAAGTATGAATTGATGGGTATTTATATTTTGTAGTATATTATTATTATATTTCGAAAATAAGTCATTTATGCATCAGTATTTTTCAATACCAATTAAGCAACATAATAATATATTATGAGCCCTCAGTTGAAACGCCTCTGTGTATGGTGGCAAGCCAACAAAATAACGTCGAATTCACGTGGACAAAACAAACAACCAAAAAACCCGTTGTTAAAAAAAAAACCAAATGACAACTTTGTCGAGAAACATAAATATTTACATACAGACATATGAGCTCGCATACAAATTGACATCAAATTGTGCGAATGGTCGCGAAGTTGACAAAATTTGTTTCAATCGAGAATTTTGCGACAATGTCGGTTGGCTATGTTGTCACTTTTGCCTTTTTGCAGTGCTTTGG